AAGACATATCTTTTAGGCAACATTGTCTGGCTGGATAAATAACAAGATCATCAGTAAATAATTTTTAACATAGAGGACTTAACTTAGAGTAGGTTACAGGAATCACATCCACAAATATAGCCCGAACCTCTGATAATCCCTCGATACAACTGATTAAGCACAAGGACAGTGTGTAAATCATGTAAAGAACCAAAAGCTATGAAGAAAAACATAAATATAATCCATCCAGAATACCCGTTGCTATCGAGCTCCTCACATTGGACGGAAAACTGTTTTGTGCTTTGCAGATTTTGCTACTAACTTATTCTTCAATGCTAACTCAAACTTTGGATTTAGGCGCATCAGAAATGCTCAGAGAAGCATCGAAATTCGGCACATCCATTTCCTTTTTGCTGGGTACTTCAAGTGTTCGAGTTAAAGGATATTAGGCGCATTAGAAATGCTCAAAGGATACAGCATTATCATTATTCAAATGCAACGGCGAATTACTCTCAATGGAGGCAATTATCGTCTAAATCACACATAACCAGTAGTAGAAAGAAAAATTGAAATACATAAAACATCACACTGATTCAACTCAAGTCACTCAAAATATAATATCATCTAAGTTTCGAATCCAACATGCCGAACATCGACAAAACACACAGACACACAGACAGAGAGACCAAAAGAAGAGAAGAAACTGATAAGCTATAAAACTTACCATTTTGGCCGCCTCCGATTGGGTATTTGATCAAAGCATCCTGAAGGTGAACAAAAAAATTGGAAACGTGAAAATGAAAATTAACGAAATTCTATTCATAAAACCCGATATTAAGGGTATGTTTGGTTCAATGGAGAAAAAGAGGGGAAAAATTTTAATGGAGGAAAGAGACGGAAGCTGAGGTGATGTAAAATAATTTTACCTTGTTTGAAAGAATTTGGTTAGGGGGGGAGTTGAGGAAAAATGGTAAATCTTGTTTGGTTTGTTTGAGAAGGATTTGGTTAGGGAGGAGTTGAGGAAAAAATAGTAAACCTTGTTTGGTTAGATAATGAAAAGGGAGAAAAAATAATGTTAAAATGAAAAATATATCATTAATGATGTTAAAATAAAAATTAAAATATTATATATAATAAGGGTAAAATTATAATTGAGTGTGTTAAAATTTTCTCTCCCATCCAAATGCCCTCAATTATGGAGGGGAGCAAAAATGGAGAGGGGAGGGAATTCTAACTTAAAATTTTCCCTCCCCTCCTATCCAAATTTATGAACCAAACAAGAGAAAAGTGAAAAAAATCCCTCCCTTCCCCTCCTTTTCCCCCAAACCAAACAATACCTAAGAAAGTAAGAAATAAAATTGACATTATTGTAAAAGGATAGAGTTTTGTAATCGGATTCTCGAAGAGAAGATGACTGATTCACCTGGTATTAGAGCGGTTCCAATGAACTTTCCGGCACCGATTGTGAACTTTTTTTTTTAACTCAGTATCATATTCACTCCAAGATTTACCACGAATTGACAGCTCCCAGAGTACGGGCTTAACAGCCTACGGGGTCCACACTAAGATTTTGTTTTGCCAAATGAGTTGATAGCTTATAAGTGATTTTGAGTTTATTGGATATAACTTATGACTATAGCTAAAAATATAGCTTATATGATAAAAATGTTTGGTAAAATTAGCTTATATGCTATAACTTATGACTATAGCTGAAAAGATAACTTATATGATAAAAGTGTTTAGTAAAATTAGCTGGTAAGCTAACTGAAATAAAAATTTTAAAGAGTTTATTTGAAAAGCTACCCGAAAAAATTATATATAAGATAAGCTAAGCCCGTCCTACCAAACGAATCTGGATGGAACTAATTTTCCAATAGGAGTGAGGTGATCCATCCCCACTTCCGACGGCAGTCAAGTTCGATCCCCTGACATTTGCTTTCATTGGGTATTTACACCCTCCCACTAAACTAGTGGACTACAAGCATTGGGGCGTAGAGATTGTAATTTGTTTAATAAAAAGATAATAATTTTATTTTTTGTTTTACTAGTATTTAACTCGTGCATTTGAACGGAAAATGAATTATAATAAAAATAACTAATATAAATATATAAACAAAAGGAAAACATAATAATTTCATCACGGGGACATAAATAAACAAACAAATACGAACAATATTCTGACATAAATGAACACGAACTTTAAATGTTATAATCGCCTCATTTTGTGTAAGAAAATTTGATTTTGTAGCGATTTTATAGTTCTAGCTTTTGTAGGTGAAAAGACTTATAATAAAATCTTAAAATCATTTATGTTGAATGAGAAATCAATTCTATAGCTGAAATATGGAGGAATTTTTAATTTATGTAGCTCAAAATTGAGTTTAAGTAACTATATCTATAACATTGTTGGATTCATAGATGTTTTGTCTTTGAAGAATATTGGACAAGCCAAATGAGCTATAATCATGTAGTATGCATGTTAGAACTCTAAAAAGGTTCGTTGGACGAGTAGGAAAAATATAATACAATTACGAGTCCGAACGAGTGCGTGCATGCTTTCAACATGCAGGCGCGCGCCAGGTCCAATCGCTTGCGCGATATCTCTGCTAAGCGCTTGCTCAACAGTTGTACCCGATGGCACGTTGCGGGCATGTTCCGAAATGTGTATTTTGATGCCACAAACCCTATGGAGATGTCTAAGAACGTCTATAAATACCCATAAAGTGATGAAGTACTTAAAACATCATATTTATTAAGAGTTCTTTTGCGTATTTACAAAGTTCATAAAGCATAGTGTATTATTTGCTCAAAGTTTGTGTATTTAAATTACCTTTATACACAATTTAAAAGTCATTATATCATGTAAGTGTTAAACGAGAACCATTGATAATATACAAGACTATTTCGTGATAAATATAGCATGATCTTAAGTGACTCCACTTTAATTTCTTTCTTTTAATTCACAAATAGTGAAATACACAAACATTTTGTTGGACTACAACACTAAGTAGGTATAAAATATTAAAAAAAGAAAAAGTATTTATTACACCATGTTACTCAAATTCTCGCGTTAATGCTTCTTGGGAGCACTATTTTAGCATTTCCTCTTTCACACACGAAAACTTCTTGATATAATGTGAAACCTTATACTTACGGTCAACGTAAAATCTCGTAACTCACACATCTAACTTTGTTGTTACAAACTTACAAATGTGGCTGACCTTGGCAAGTCCTTGGAAACAAGAAAGCATAATTACTAGTGAGCCCCATAAATGGAACAAAAATTCTAGAATCACCAATATAAACAAAAGAATAAACAAATTGTACTGTGGACGTTTGTCCCACTACACCAAAAGATTTCTTTATTTTGGAATGAGAGGTATCAACTTCTACTAGGGAGATCAAGAGGAAAATAGTTAAATTATTTCCTTNATTATTTAGAAAATAAAAAAAATTAATATTTTATATATTTATCAAGGTGATTTAAAATATAATAATAATAATAATAATATAAATAATAATAAAATAAAAATATTTCTTAATTGAGTAAATAAGTTCACGCCATATAAACAGAGCTAATAACAAGTCATCACTATTTAAAAATAAATAAATAAATAAATATGAGTCAAATTTATCAAATTATAATTTATTAATCAATTTATAATTTATTTTTCATCTTAATTATTATATCACATATTACATATGAAAAAGCAAGTAAATAATTATTGTACAAAAGAAAAAGTTAAATTATACAATATTTAATCATTTATTTGTTTGAAAATTAATACTAGACAAATTGAAAACCATTAAACTGACATCAATCTTAAAAGGCTCATTATTATTGTTATGTTTTAATTACCGTAAATTTATCTAATTTCACAAATCAGACATGTGTGTCAAAATGAGTTAAAAAAAATATATTTATGCAAACCGCTAATGTGAAACGCTCCAATGTCTAGTGTTTCCAATTTCAGCTTTTTCTCCCCATCCGCCAAGTAAAAAAGCTCTTTTATCAAATATAATTAATAGCTATTTTATCCGGTCAAACCAACTGTTTTAGCGTTTTGGCTCAAAACGCTGAAAACCAAACACAGTTATGTGACAAATAAATAAAAATAAATCCATGTAGATGTAACTAAGGAAATTGGTTTAGAATAAAGAGACGTGAAGTCAAAGATTTTATACAAATGGATTGGATCTTGTGTTTTGGGACTTCAAACTTCGAAGGAAGAAATTTTACAACTAGAGAAAGACCATTTAACACGTGAGGAAGGTAAAAAATATGTTTTGTGAGTTCCAAGTTGCATCACTTTCGTTAAGGTTTGATGTTTAGGCTTTGATTACAGCAGCATAAATATACATATTTTTGCCGTCTAATATTTAAGTTGCCTAAAATCAACATTTTTGCTTTTAACTTTATATATCTGTTAGATGTTGTATGTATTAATGGCTCACATGCATTTACTTGAGATAATAAATCGTGGTCCTTAATTGTTTGATTGGATATAAATTATTTTTGATAAAATTGGTTGGATGGAAAAAGTGATTAGTGGAAAATGAAATAATTGGGTTTTTGAATTGATATAAAATAAAATTCAATAATTAAAGTTGAAGTAATAGAAAAAATAGTAAATAATAAATATAAATTGAAAGTTAAAATATGTAATTTGATCTCTGCGCCCCAAAGCTTCTTGTTTTAGGTAGACCGATCCAAGTCCAAAAACTACGACAATAGAGTATAATCCATATGTGTGCACTATAGCTAGAGCTGTTAAACGAAAACTGCTCCTGAGCTCGATTCAACTTGTTAAGACTCGATTTCGGCGTGATTTGTTTCATAAACAAGTCGAGCTCGAACACTTTAATGCTTGTTTAGTTAACGAGTCGAACCGAGACTAGACTTACTAAAACTTGAAAAATTTAAATGTTTATATAATTCTATAGAGTTTGGTTAGACATTTTTTTTGAATTCAAACTGGTCCGACCATTAACGATTTTTTTTTTAAATGTACTATGTCAAAAAATAAATTATGTATTTTCATAGTAAATATATATGATGAAGTACAGCATTATTAAGACTTTGAGGTGTAATTTTACATATAAAATGTTTATTTTTATTACTTTTATACTAACAAAACAAATCAATTTAAAATTGCATGCTTGTTTATAAATTATTTCACTTACATTTAATTCACTTAAAATCTAACAAAATTTTAACTCAACCTCACTATCTTTAATATTATTCATATAATTGAATAATACAAATCAATAATTCTTACACATCATATCAAATTTTAATTCATTATTCATCCACTCACATAATTTTAACTATCTATTATTTCCAATCATTTATCTCATGCTTTTGCATCAATTCAATTTTAATCATTTTATTTTAAATATTATTTTAATACATTATTAAAATCTCACTAACAACTAACTATATCATATTTTTTAAAATTAACTCTAATTAACAAAAATAACTCATTTTGGACGAATTATTTTGTAAACAAGCAAGGCCTAATTATGGTCCAATAATTAACCTAATAACTCAAGATTGATCGGATGATCCGACCATTGCAAAAACAATACAACGATCAAAGATTCAAAACGCAGTACATTAATTTTTCTTCAGTGCAAACTGCAGATGAAGTACAACTTTTTCTGCACAAGATTAATGATACGTATCTGCACTCCACGGCCCCCATAGAATCAAACAAAAAACAGAGTCCACACGCATGTGAATACTAAATAAGTTACTGTGGACAAGTCAGACGAGGACGAAGCAAGCAGTAATGACTAATCAACTTCATACAATTTTACAAACCAAACCAAAAAGAACCAAAAAAGAAAAATAAAAAGAAAAAATCAGCGACCGGCAGTGTAAGAGGTTGACCTCTTCAAGCTCGGAAATTCCTCTTTCCTCGTCTGCTCCACCACCAAGCCCCCGCTGAAAAACTCCTTATCCTCAAGCTTCGGCCTCCCACGTGGGACCCGCATCTTGTACTGCGATATCAGCCCCATTCCTCCATGCCCGGCCCCACACGAGATCGACCCGCACGAGATCAGCTGCATCAGAACAGATTTGGCCGCCTTTTGGTTGTTGCTGCTGGCCGTCGACTGATCTTCCCCGGCGGCCGCGGCCGCCGGCGCCGGCGCCGGCCGCTTGGCGGCTTCCGATTTCATCAGCGTCTCCAGTGTCTCGGGGCTCGACGAGTCGGACGGCGGTGGGGAGACCGACACCTCGATCTCGTCGACCGGCGGGGGGCGCCGCCTCGGGCGGCCGTCGTCCGTCTGGGTGGACACGTCGGCGGTGGGTTGGGCCTTGGGGACGCCGTACTCTTGGATGTTGGTTAGGTCGATGGAGCTGCACGACTGGTTGTGGCGCCGTCTGTCCGCCGCCGGCGGCGGCCGCTGATCGTTTGTCTCTGGGAGTTCGCCGGCCGGGAGCTCCGAGCCTTTGAGGACGTACTCGTTGCCGTGAGCCGGGAAAATGACGTCATCCTCTAGCAAATCGTGCCACACGAATCCATTCCTGTAGCTCCTGCTCTCCCAAAATTAAATAAAAAGAACCTCAAAATAATTAAATGAAAAAAAAAAAGAAAAATTAAAAAACAGAGAGCAAAATCGAAAGGCTCACCGTTTGCAAGACCAGGAGTACATGGCCGCCATGCCTTTACCGCGAAGAACATTCAGGCGGCTAAAGACGTCTGTACACAGAAAACCGAATTAAAAATCAAAATTAAACAAAAAGAAAAACAAAAATCGATTATGAAGAAGATGAACATACATCACAATCTCCACAAATCCCAAAATTAAAAAAAAAAAAATGGATAACTAGATACAAACCTCTGAGAAGCAGACCGTGTGGGGAGGAGAGAGGAACCTCCATGAAATGGGGATGCTCGAGTTGCCCGTTTCTAGAGAGATAATACACCACGGGCACCCTGCGACCCGGCAAGTTGAACTCTGGATCAGTCGGGTCGGCCCGCGATTTGATGGGGTCGGGCCTACTTTCCGTCTCCTGATCTCTCAACTGCCTCGTCGGCCGGAGCTCTGTCGTTCTCCTTGACCTAGAAGTAGAACCTGAGACCGCCATGGTTGTTCAACTCTGTTTTCTCACACTTAGTCAAAACCAGTCAACTTTCGCAAATTTTGACCTTATTGGAGAGAATTAATAAATAATGTTGGGGAAGGCTGGGTGGTGAGTTTACGTGTGTTAGGTGTGAAAAGAAATGGCGGTGTGGATTAGAAAAATTCAAAAATGGATGCGATAGACAACCGCTAACAAACAAATCAAATACCAAATTGTACAAATTTGTTGCTGACTTTTTTAAGTTTTTGATTTCAGTACACTTTGGCTTTTTTATTGAACTTCTTAATTGTTAATTCGTATGTTACATAAAGAGTTCTTAAATGAAATAAATTGTTTACGACTTTTGTTCAATTCGTTTATGAGCAAAAAGCTAGAAAATGTAACTTTAAGGTATTTTTGTACAACTCGATTCAATAAACTTGAGTTCTATTCATTATTATCGGTAAAAGTTGAGTTTGAACTCATTTATCGACTCGTTTAACTAGCATTTGAGTTCAGCTCGACAAAGATTCAAACTTGACTTGTTGGCACATGAGTATTTCTTACATCAATCCAATTTTCTTTATTTATTTTATTTTTTGATTGTTTTCTCCTGATTGCAAAGAGTATCGGAGGCTCAAATTTTGTGGCGACGAGAATGGAGGCAAGTTTGTCGGAGGAGGGGACATGATTCTACTATCTATATTTAATTTGTGTTAGTCTTTGTGTGTGTTTTGTATTTTTTAGGTTGCATTGCTNGTCTCTTGTGTTTTGTTGTATCTAATCTCAATTGATTAGTGTGTTTTAGTTTTTGTAGCGGAATGTAATAGTGGTTTTATTTTGTATTTGTATGGTTAGTGATGTTTGTTGTTTCCTTTGAGACGTGTGAATTCCAAGGGAAACATAGTTTTTCATTTATTTATATTTATTAATAAAATTTTATCAATTGAAAAAGGAAAGAAAAAGGTTCCCGTTTGATTCGGGGATTACATTTGAATGTAAAAGTTGGCAATCTTTTAGTGCATGGTTCAAAAAGTCGAAGATATATGTAGTTGGGCGGATATTTGCATTTGAATTGAAATTGGTTGTAGGGAGGAAAAAGTGAACTCGGTTTAAGATTGTGTTTGGTGGATAATATTTTATGGAAGCTGTTGACTATGTCAAACCACCGAGGGTAATTTTTTGTATGCTCTCAATTAAGTACAAAAAGTTATTTTACAACTAAAGTAAAACAAATAGCTTTTGGAATCCAATTATTAGTTAATTTGGGGCCTGTAACCTTGTATAAGTAGCTCAATTTCGTTTTGCAAAATGTAGTCAACCTTTTTGGATTGATTAACAGGGAATTGGAGTATTCCTCGAGTTCTTTCTTTAAGCAATTCATCATACAGTTCACCTTCATTTCCAGGTCCTCTGAAAGAACCAAACAACTTCCAAGTTCGTTGTCGTTTGTCTCCCCGCATCTGACTGTTCCCTCCCCTGCTCTCGAGTTGGTCGGTGTTGAGACGGGGATGATTCCCTTCTCTTCCTCTCTTTGCGTGTCCATTTTTCAAGGATGGGAGGGTTGGTTCTTTCAGTCTGCTCCTTCCTCCTGGGAATTCTTCAGCCAAGATTTTCGACAATCGGTTGGAGATCCTTCTCTTTGAAGGTTTTTCAACCGCATTTTTCGGCAACTGGTTTGGGATATGCTCTCTTGGGGAAGGTTTTGGCTGTGTTTTTTGGCGTTTTTGGGGGTAGAGACAGTGGATCTGAGCCCCCGGGTGTTGTGTGTTGTTCGGTCTGTTGAAGGATGGTGTTGTTGTTTAGTCTCTGATTCGGTTAGCCATTAGTCGTTTTCGGAGTTGTGGAGTTTATGTATCTGAGATTTAGTGTCGAGTTTTTGTTCTTTGTTGTGTGGTTGTCTTCGATTTGTTTGGCTCGTGGGGTGGGTGCGGCGGGGTAGTTGTTTGGAAGTCGAGGAGAACTTTAGTCTATAGTCTTTAGTTATTTGTTAGGTCTTTGTTTTGTTTGTTAGTTTCATTTCTGGAGATATTTTGTCTCCTTACGTAGAGTTTGTTTTTCTCCTTGTTTGAGAGCTTTTTGTAGGGTTGTTCCCTTTGTGGAAGGGAAGATGTGTGGTTAAGTGACTCTTCTCTGGTTCATTTCTTTATGTCAATTGACAGTTAGAATGTTCCTTGTAGCTCGTTGGTTACCGATTGTACTTTTTTTGAGTTTTATATAGTCGTATTTGTCATTTGAAAAAAAAAAAACTAAAACAAAACAAAAACTGAATTGAGATGAGTTGGTTGATTTGATTAGATACGTTCGGAAGTCAAAATTAAGGCCCTTAGGTTATCTTTCGGCCCTGGACAATATCTTTATTTATTATGTGAGAGAGAGAGAGAGAGTTTGGAAGTTAGTAAGTTTGGAACTTGGAAGGTGAAAATGAGTCAATGGACAATGAGAAGAATAAAAAGAAAAAAAAAATAGCAAAAGAAAAACAGAAAAAGAAAGAAATTTCATGTGTAGCCGTGTAAGGAGAAGGAAGGATACATTTTTGGATGGTCAAATCAATGTTTGGACATTTTTCTCACAAATTATTGAGTGAATATATTTTTTAAAATATATACTTATATTTACAAAACGTCATATTTTATTTAAATAAAAGAAAAATAGGAGAAAGTAATTTTTCTTTGCGGGACACATCCAACTGAGCACATAGGGTAGAAATAAAAAGTTCTTTGAGTAAAAAAAAATGCAGTAGATATATTTGCAAGTAAAAAGGATTGATTGAGATGGAAGTAAAATACCTCCGGGATAAAATCATCACTAGCTCGAGAAGCCGACGACCTTGTTGTGAAAGCACTTCGAGGCTCCGATGTCGACAACCTCTTTCTTGGGCCACCATCTCTGTAATAGTGTCAGAGCATCTTTACCGTCTCATTTCTTGATGCAAATAAAGAAAGAAAGGAAAAATAACATCGACATTAGCGAATGTATTAAAAATGAGTAGCGAGGTTTCATTTTCATCAAGCACCACAAAAGTTCATCAAATCCCGGTCATCCCAGGCATTCAATTTGTTGGTATGGCTCATATATTGACAAAGGAAGAGGGCAGACTGATGCCTGCGAGCGTAGCGGAGCGAGCAGGCATCAGCCCTTGTTGGGCTGGGTCGATTAGTTGGGCCGGGGGTGCGGGGGCTCTGCCCCCGCGGTACGGTACGGGGTATTTAAGTAAATTTATACCTTGTAGGGTTATAATATAAATACATGGTGTATTGATGTATTTGGGATTATCGTGAATAATAAAAAGATCATTCCTCCGCCGTGGACGTAGGCACATTGCCGAACCACGTAAATCCTGTGTTGTTTACTTTCTCGTCTTTAATTCGTATTGTCATCGTTTCACAACACAATTGAAGAAAAAAAAATTGTTAAAATTGAAATGAAAGTTAGAAAGGAACAAAACCCAAACCTTTGATTAAAAAGCCGCCTAATTATAGCCCAATTATACCACCAGTCAACACCGTTCAGCCGTGCTATCCATCGCTTGACCCGACGCCGCCAAACTCACGTCTTACAACCTTCACCGCTCACGAGCCGAGCACAACGGATGACACATGTCTCCCAGCCGCCAACCGCGACCCTTGACCTATATGAAGTAAATAGAAGCATCCAACAACAAACATGAAAACACTATATGAAGCTCACACATAAAATTCACACCCAATATTATCTTAACTCTGAATTGAATGGTATTAAAATCTGTCATCCTTTTTCATATATTATTGACATTAATGTCGAATAAATTAATAACCATAAAAGCAAAGAAGCAAAAAGGCCACCAACTAAGACAAAAAAAGGAAAAAAGAAAAGAAAAAAAAAAAACTTGTTCAACAGACATTACCTGCGGCGAAACCATCACCACCTGAAGAAATTCTTTGTTCGGCTGAACTCTACTCACAACTCCACTTGAACCATTCTGCGACTCACACGCTGGGGACCTTTAGGCTGCAATTTAACTAGATAAACATTTATTCATCTTTTCAGTTCAAAATCTACTCATGGAGAGGCTGCAATTTAACTAGATAAACATCAATTCATCTTTTCAATTCAAAATCTACTCATGGAGAAACGAAGAGCATGTTTGTATACAAAAATTTTTACTCAAAATTTCATTAACTCAAAATCTAACTCAATTTTAACTCATTTTCAATATCATCAATATAATTAAATAATATCATCCACTCATTCTTACACATCATGTCTAATTCACTATTAATTTACTCACATTATTTTAACTAATCATCACTTCATATCATCTCTCTCATATTTTTATATCAAATCAACTTTAATTATTTTATTTTAAATACTATTTTAATATAAATTTAAAATTCCACTATCAACTAACCATACCATTTTTTTCACATTAACTCTAGTTAATCAGAAAAATTCACTTTTAGTGAAAATTTTTGTATACAAACATGCTCGAAATAATCAGAACATTTCTAAAGAAAGAAATTTCTAATCTCTACAAAAGCGGCGTGTCATCGAAAGTAAAGATTTCTGTCCCTCCGACCACCAATCGAAGAGTGGGCCCCACCTGTCGTTCGATTATGTCGCCGATCTATGGACACTTGAGGCCGCATGGGTTCGTCGGAGCGACTAAGGAGACGATCGTGTTGCGGGAAGAGGTAAATAAGGATGTCGCTTGATTTAGCTTTTGATTTTGCACGAATGTTGGTGAAAGACGGGAGAAAGGAGTGTTGCGTATTTGAGATCCCTTTGTACAACAATTCTTAACAATTAAGATAAGCTATGTGAAAAAAAAAAGAAAAAAAAAAAGATAAGTTATGTGAAACGGAGTCGTTTCGTCCAAATACAACGCCATTTCGCTTTGATCAATTGAAAAAGAAAACCACGAAAAGCTTTTAAAAGGGACATAAAAATTTGGGGAAAAAACTGCCACGTTGACGCCAGAAACTGGCTCAAAAATACCATAATTGTGCCACGTAATGTCTCTCAGCTTTTCTTATAAGAATACTAGGAACCTCTTGGTTGTGCGATGCACAATCGGCCCATAGTACCAAAACATTTATATTTGAATGTCATATTCCAAAATTTTAAACAAATAAATCCAAAATTGCATCAAAAGACTATCGAAAAAGAACTTATGCTCATAAACGCACCTAAAAACATTGATAAAATAAACA